AAAATAAAAATACGTTTTAAATTGATGTGGTCAATGGTTGTTTCCTCTAATGTAATGTGTCAATAAAAGCATCTTCTAGGATACTTTATTATTCATAGTTTCTTGTAAAATAAAATCTAAGTAATAATTATGCAAGTTCAGCATTAGGACAAATTTCCAACCCTGACCCACAATAAGTTTGCTGCTCCTTAACACCTCAAATATGGAAATTACAGAGGTGCCATTGCCCTTCTGGAAGATGTCACAGGGCAGAGGTGAAAAGAATCCAGTATATCCCTTCAATGGATAAACTGCTACACATTCTTCAAAACCCAGCCCACACACCACCTATGGGAAGCCCTCCATGACTGTGGCAGGAGAGTCCATGCCAGCTGAAGGCCCCTCCGACCCAGCAGGTGAGGAAAGCTTTTTGAAAGGACCTGACCCTGAGCTCTGTTGTCCTCTATTCCTCTATCTTTGTGCACTTAGACCAATCACATGCTTTTTGGGCCCCAGTTCAACATTCTGGACAGTATAGGGCTGAAATCTAATTACGGAATAGTCCTCTGTCTCTCCCACAGCCTTGGATTGGATAATTTTTTGTTGAGTGAACAAATTAAAGAAGAAATTGAATCTGTGGAAGTTTGCTAGCACACATTCATGTCTGAAAATGTTTCCAGCATTATCATTACTTTTGTTGGGTGTGATGATGGTACTGTGGTTATATTAAAAGAAGGAGAGAGGCCAGCTGAGTGGCACATTGGTTAAGAGTTTGCTTGGGAAGCCAGCTCTGAGCAGCAGGGCCCTGGTTCAGATTCCACATGAGGGCCAGTGACGCTGTGCCCTCTACAGCTAAGATGGTGAACCACAGCTCAATCTGGAGCTGGGCTGCCGTGAGTCGCCAGCAACGGCGTAGGTTGCAGCCCCTGCTGCAGTGGGCTGCTGTGAGCCACCGTGAGCGGGCTGTCCGATGGCCTGCGAGCAACTGCCTCACCCAGGAAGAGCGCAATGATAATACCAACGTGGGCCACTGAAACGATGTCATCCACAACTAGACTGAAGAACAAAAAGACAGCAACTTGTTTGTTTCCCTCCCCCAGTTCCCCAATAAAATCTTTTTTGTTTAAAAAGAGGAAAACAAAGAAAAAGAAAAAAGAAGCGAAGTGCTGTCATATGTTAGAGATTTATACCTAAGTATATGGGTGAAATGATATGAAGTCTGTCCAGGTTGCAGGACAATCAGTGGTAGGGTGTAAAAGGATAAAAGGAGACACTGATTTTCCCATTTAAAGTGGCAGCCCCCCGAATTTTCAACTTACATCACTCTGCCCCATCCACCCTCCTTTAGCAGTTAACACCTTTTCATAAACAATGTTTATTTGCTCTCTTCCCCACTAGGATGCCGGGTCTACAAGCTAGGGATTTGGGGGCTTTTTTGTTTTACTAAACATTAAGTACCAAGGACATTGACTGGTGATCAATAAACATTTGATGAAGGAACAAATAGAGTCTTATATACTTATAAGTTCTCCATCTATTTAGTATTTCCTGCATTACTCATGCCAAATCAATTTTATAATTAGTTGTGTCATACAGAGATGGATGCCTGCAGAGTCTTTTGGAGGGAATAACTAATCTTTTAAGAAAATGGATCCAGTGTGTGTGTGTTTTGCTGCTCTCTATAAGTGTGGTAAAGATACCAGAAATAAAGCAGCTGATTACTCCACATATGTGAGAAGCAAAAATCACTGTACTATCAGCATGAACAAGTAAATAAGCAAACAGTAAATGAATAATTTCTGATAGAAAGGAAGGCTATGAAGAAAACTAAGGCATGGCAAGGTGCTACAGTGGTGGGGTAGGTCAAGGAAGAAAGATATGTGAAGAAAAGACATTTGAGCAGATATGTGAGTGGCATGATGGAGTCAGCCATGGAGCCAGAACATATGAGGTGTGATCAGAAACTATGATGAATGTTTAAATGAAATTTATTACAGTAAAAGACACATTGCCATTAATCCCCCTCAAAATACTCCCTCCCGTTTTGAACACACGTATCCCATCATTCTTGCCACTTTCTGAAGCAGTTCTGGAAGTTCTCTCTCGAGAATGTCTTTAGTTGCACTGTCATGGCTGCCTTTTTTGTGTGTGTGTTTCTTTAGCACTTTTTTTGCAGTTCGAAGCAAAATTTCATGCATTGTTCATGAGCCATGATTTATAGCACACTTTAAAACATACCTTCTCTCAACCATAGCTCATACCCGACTAATTGCACCAAACAGGTTGAAACTTGTCACACACTGTTACTAAGGTTTGACGCGCCACTTCCTGTACTGAAGATCCCTGCCTTTCGGTTGGATGACACTTGGCATCAAGATTCACAGTATTGTTTGATCACACCTTGTATATGGCAGGGGCCTCAGTGAGTGTCAAGGCCATAAAGCTCTTGGCTCCTTGCTCGTCTTACCACTGGGTGGCGTCTCTTGTCTGGGGCCAAAGATTTTCTTGCCCCATTCAAGGAAGGGACAGCACTTTTCTCCATGCAGACTTTCTCTTTTTACACTATGATATTTATCTAACAAACAATGAAATTTTCCCAATTAATTGAAATATTCAGTTAGTTTTAATAATATAATTAGCACTTCTGCACCTATCACCTAAAAGAAATGGAAGGGTCTTGACAATATCCATCTATTTGTATGTTCCCCCAATTCATTGCCTTGCCTCTCCTCAATTGAGGTAAACATATACTGAATCCCAAGTTCATCAATTTTTATTCCCTTTTTATATAATTTTATTGCAACTACACAAAATCCAAAGTAGTTCATGTTCTTTATATTAATAGAATTTAATTTTATATAAGTGTTTTATAGAAGTGTGTTATGCTTTATATAATCTTTCAGGAATCACAGGATTTTACCTCTTAATAGTCATCCATCTTGTTGGGTATTGTTCTAGTTCATTCATTTTAACTCCTGTTGATGAGCATATTTTTGTTTCCAGGTTTTGCTGTTGTGTACAGGATGCCATGCATACCCCAGGTTTAATGTGCAAGTGTTTCTCTTGGATATATTTCTAAGAGTGGACCGGCTGGATTGTAAGGTATACAAATAGTCACTGTATGAGGGAATGCCAACTATTTTCTAAAGTGGTTTCACTGATTTACATTCCTTAAACAGGGCAGAAAGATCCCATGGGTGCACACCCTCCCCAGTAATTAGTATTGTCAGACTTAAATTTTTGCAAATTGAATGGGTGTAAAATGTCATCTCCACATATCTTGATTTGCATTTCTCTGATCACTAATGACTTTGAACATCTCTTCATATATTTATTTATTGGCTCTATCTTCCCTTCTTTTCTGAAATGGTCTAACAGATATATATTTTTTTAATATAACCTAGTACTATTATGACACTCAACAATAGCAACAATGATTCCTGACACTCTATTAGAGGTATATGTATGCCAAATGTGCTTCCATTGATTCCATTTCTTCTTTCATTTGTTTATTCAACAAACACCTAGAGCAGGGTTATAAGGTTAGAAAGAGAATCTGGGATAATTAGAGTCCAACACTCTAAGAAAGCAAAAATTAGGTCAGACTGTAAAAATCGGCCCTGCCATTCATCAGGCTGGGAGAACAGATACAGATTAAAGTCAGATACAAAATGAACAGGAAACATTATTTATCCCAAGGACATGCTGCAACCATAAAGAACTCCTACTATGAGTGACACTGCTCTCTTAGTCACTGAGAAACTTTGTTCTCTACAATCGCAGACTATCAGAAACTGCTGTTTGAAATGTATGAATGAAGAAGCATCCCACTCTTGCTGGATATTCTAAGTCACTTAGTCACAAAGAAGCAGCCATGATTTCCAACCCTGGCGCAGAGATAAGGAGTATCTAGATACAACATTCTACATCTATCTTAACTTTATTGTTTCCAAGGAAGCAGGACTCTGGGTTCACTTTGCAGTGCCCATACAGACTGGTTTGCTTTGAGCTTATCAAAACACTGCTTTATTTACATTTCATCTGAACTTCACCATTCCTCAGAATCCTATAACCCTATCTTTTCCTTTGTTTACTGAGGCACCCCACCGTTCCTCTGGTGTGTGGTCTCCCTTATTGATTGATGGATCTGTCAAACTACAAATTAGTCCCAGATGGTCTTAGGCTGATTGGAGCAAGACACTCTCACATTCCAGATTGCTAAACTGAGGCCCAGAGTGGATGTGACTGGACTGAGAGCATTTATATTGACATATCGCATTAGGTTAAGGAAAGATAAAAAATTATTATTGGTACTTTTATTTTAGCTGGAGTAGCTGGAGTGGGAAATAATGTAGACTACGGGAGCATTCAAACCCCAGGGCCAATCGCCACAAGCACAGCAGAGGGGAAGCTAAAACTGATTTCTCCCCGTTTTTCTCCAGTGCTATATTCTAGGCGGCCTTGCACATCGCTGATGTCTTCCCCTTTTTTGCTTGTAGTATGTTCCAGAAGAGGCCTATAACCAATCTGACGTCTCCCCTTTCTCATCCTGTGGTATCTGCCAGGAGATGACAGTCACTGGCACTTCTGGGTCTTTCCAGAGGCCCCTCAGCTTCTCTGAACATTAGTACACAGATTTACAGAGTACGGATCAAAAGATTCATCCTCCAGAAAGCCCACTCAGAGAAACGTCCTCAGCCCTGCTCCCCGCCACCTGTGTGATAGCTCCTCTGCTCGGCTCTGTGACTGTAGAGGCTTCCTCATCTTCAGTACGGGATGGACATTCCTCCAACATGGCGCACCTCATAGGGAAGCACGAAATGGGCACGGCCATGTTCCCCGCCTGACCACGCTGCCGAGGGGCACGGAATAACCCAAAGAACTGACTCCGTACAACTCCATGTTGACTCTTGGCCGTCAGAGGCTTCAAATGTGGTTTTGCGCATGTTCTAAACCACGCCCCCTTCGTGCAAAACCCCAAACACCGAGAAAGGGCGGTGCTAGGGGTGGTGACCGGAAGCGGCTGAGGTTCTCAACGGCGGTTTAATAGGTGTCAGGAAGGATTTCAGTGCTCCGCCGGAGGCAGGTCGAGACGATGCAGCCTCCGAGAGGGTGAGTGTCGGGGAATTCTGTGTGGTCAGTGATAGACTCGATTGTCTAGCTGTCGTTGGAAGATTCGCTCATTATTTTGCAGGCTTTTCTCTTTTCTCATATCAATGCCTTGAACTTCATACTAAGACCCGCAAGGTTTGGTGCATTATGCTCTGAGTGTTTTTTAAGAGTTGAAAATTTTTCTATTGCCCATGAGTTATTTAGAAGTGCGTTTTCAGTATCCAAAAGTTTATCTTTTTAGTGGATTTCTAACCTTAGTTTTCTGTGGTCCGAAGAATGTCTGCGTGAAGCTCATTTCTTGAATTATGAAGGGATTCATGGCCTAGTATGTGAATTTTTATAAATGTTCCATATATAACTCGACAATAATATTTACTTGTTTAGTTGTCAGTTGTGTCATACAAGATTTGTACTCTTTTTTTTTTGTCTGCTTCTATTCCGGAGAGAGGAGAGAGAAATTTTCTGCTGTGATCTGTATTTGTCCATTTCTTCTTCCTGCTGTTCATAATCCATTTGAGTTAAGTTTTGTATGAAGTGTGAGCCTCAGATTGAGGTTCATTTCTTTGAATGTCCAATTACTGAAGCACCATTTGTTGAAAAGACTATCCTTCTGTTGATTTGTTTTGCACCTTTGTCAAAAATAAACTGGCCATTACTATGTAGTGCCAGGTGGGTACTAGACTATAATGGGGGGAATCACTACATAGGTTGTATAAATGCCTAACCACTGCGCTGTACACCTGAAACTGATATAATGTTGACTATCAACTGTACCTGAAAAAAATAAATGAATAATTTTTTTAAATTGGCCATACTTTGTGGGGCTATTTCTAGGTTCTGTATTTTGTTCCATTGATCTGTGTGTCTTTTAATCATGATTAGGTGTTGAATTTTGTCAGTACTGTATAAATTTGTTTGATCTTGTGACTTTTTTTCTTTATCCTGTTAAGATGGGTGAATGCACTAATTGATTTTTTAATATTGAACCAGCCTTATATTCCTGAAGTAAATCTCACTTGGTTGTGGTATATAATTCTTTGTATATATTGCAGGAATTGGTTAGTTAATACTTCTTTTGAGGATTTTTGTGTCTAGGTTCATGAGAGATATTGGTCTACACTTTTCCTTTTTTGTTCTGTCTTTGCCTGATTTTAGTATTAGGGTAATACTGGCATCATAGAATGAGCTGGGAAGTGTTCTCTTTTATTTTCTGGGAGAGATTGTGTAGAATTATGCTAATTTTTCTTTAACTATTTGGTAGAATTCTCCAGTGAAACCATCTGGGCCTGGAAATTTCCTTTTGGAATCTTTTTGATTATGTCTTCAATTTCTGTAGTAGTTATATGACTGTTTAGATTATCTATTTAATGACTTTTCAGAGTATCTATTTACTAGTGGGTGAGTTGTGGGTGTTTGTGTTTTGTGAGGAATTGGACCATTTCATCCACATTGCTGGATTTATGTGCATAAAGTTGCGTGTGGTATTCCCTTATTTTTCCTTTTAATGGCTGCAGGATCTCTAGTTATACCTCCTGTTTCATATCTGATATTGGTAATTTGTGTCTTCTCTTTTTATTCAATCTTGCTACAGGATTACCAATATTATCGACAATCTTGCTACAGGATTACTAATATTATTGACATTCTCAAAGAAACAGCTTTTGGTTTCATTGATTTTCTCTATTGTTTTTCGGTGTTCAATTTCATTGGTTTCCGCTCTTATGTTTATTACTTCCTTCCTTCTGCTTGTCTTGGGTTTACTTTGCTCTTTTTCTAGTTTCTTGAGGTGCGAGCTTAGATTATTGATTTAAGACCTTAATTCTTGTCTAATGTAACCATTTATTAATAGAAATTTCCCTTTCATCACTGCTTTATCTATGCCCCACTAATTTCAGTATGTTGTATTTTCATTTTCATTCATTACTTTTTATTTTATTATTATTTATTTTATTAGTTTCAGGTGTACAAAACAACATAACCGTTAGACATTTACACCCCTCACAAAGTGATAACCCCGCCAAGTCTACTACCCATCTCACATCATACATAGCTATTACAATACCATTGACTATATTCCCTATGTTTTACTTTACGTTCTGTTACTATATACACACTCGTGTGTGTGTTTGTGTGTGTATACATACACACACACTGAGGGTGCCAGAAAAATGTATACACATTTTAAAAAAGGAAAAATCTGTTAAAATTACACTGACAGTAACCACTTTGAGCAACTCTTGTAATTGCAGAAGTCAAATGTGACTTGTATTCATCTTTTGTTATTGGTATATATTGAGTATTACAATTTTAATAGTTTTCCTTTCTTAAAATGTATATACATTTTTTTTGGCTCTCTCTCTCTCTCTCCATATGTGTGTGTGTGTGTGTGTGTGTGTGTGTGTGTGTGTGTGTGTGTATATATATAAAATTATAGTTGATATTCAATATTATATATTAGTTTCAGGTGTACAGTGCAGTGGTTAGGTATTTATATAATCTATGAAGTGATCCCCCTGATAAGCACAGTAACCATCTGACACCCTACATAATCTTTACAGCATTATTGATTATATTTCCTGTACTGTATTTCACATCCCCATCATTCATTGCTTTTTAATTTCCATTGAGATTTCCTCTTTGATCCATGGATTATATATAAATGTGTTGTTTAATTCCCAAGTGTTTGGAGATTTTCCTGTTATTTTTTTGTTATTGATTTCTAGTTCAGTGCTATTATAATCAAAGAACATATGCTGTATGATTTCAATTTGTTGAGGTTTGTTTTATGACCCTGGGTTTGGTATGTCTTGGAGAATGTTACATGGGTGCTTGAAGAGAATGTGCATTCTATTAGTGTTTGGCTGGAGTAGGGTGGGTATGTTCAGTTAGGCTACGCTTTTCTTGATCCTTTAATTAAGGGTAGTAGGATTTTCTCAGAGCTTTTTGGCCTGTGCCTGTTGACTGTTTTAAGTTTCTTCAGTACCCTGTCTGTGAGATATGGGAGGGGAAATGAAACCCAGGTAGCTCACCACTGTGTTGTTCCCTAGGCCCTGAGGTCTGTGGGCTGTCTGCCTTTCTTTTGTACCTTTCAGAGTCTTTGTATTTATTGTGCTACATCATTTTTTCCTGGTTTCTTCTATATTCATTGTTCTATCTGTTCTTTCCTTTATTAACTTTATTAATTTACAGTTTTCTAGGGAAGCACCTGTTTCACATGAGTATTAAAGTATGTTGTTATACAGTTATACACAATATTCCACAATAACTACTTTGAATCACTGCCCTATCTGGGAAAGATTTTTCCTCTTTCATTTTTTATATACCAGGGATGCCAAGAAAAATGTATACAGATGGACACTTGGGTCAATGTTGCTCAAGCAATAGTTCGCCATAATCAAAAGTGTCTGGACGCTGATGGTAACCACTTTTAGCACCTTTTGTAATTGCAGAAGTCAAATGTGACTTGTGTTCATCTTTTGTTATCAGTACATATTGAGTATTATGATTTTAATAGTTTTCCTTTCTTAAAATGTGTATATATATATTTGGCACCGTGTGTGTGTGTGTGTGTGTGTGTGTGTGTGTATTTTTTCTCCTCTTTTATCTGGTTTGCTAGGGCATAATCTATAACATTGGTCATCTCAAACATCCAGCTCTTTGTTTTCTTTAAACACCTTATTGTTGTAATTATTTGATTTATTTAAGATTTAATTTTCATTAATTACTACTTTCTTTTGGGGATTACTTAATTTTTGTTTTTTCTACTTCTAATGTTTTAGGTTGCATACATAGCTCTTTTTGTTATATTTATTTTTAATTAAAAATAAAGCTATTTAAAGTAAATTTCACTCTCTATATAACTTCAGTGTATTCCATGACTTCTGGTGAAAATTGTGTAGCTTCTGTATTGATTTCCTACTTTAGTCCTGGGTTATTTAGGAAATTATTTCTTTTCTTTTAAAACAGACTTACTTAGGTATATAAAACATATTTGGTTAGATATATTCCAAGACTATAAAATTTACCCATTTAAGGTATACAATTCAGTGGTTTTTAGTACATTCACAAAATTGTGCAATCATCACCACAGTCTACTTTTAGAACATTTTCAATGCTCCAGAAAGAAACATTGTACATATTAGCAGACATTCACCATTCATGCCACCTCTACACCCTCAGCCCTAGGAAACTACTAATCAATTTTCTGTCTTTATGTATTTGCCTATTCTGGACATCTCACATAAATGGAATCATAAAATATGTGGTTCTGTGACTGGCATCTTTCACATAAGATAATGATTTCAAGGTTCATTAATGTAACTTATATCAGTACTTCTTTTTTATTGCCAAATAATATCCAATTGTATGGATATACCAAATTTTGTTTACCCATCCATCAGTTGATAAATGTTTAGGTGGTTTCTAATTTATAGCTACTGTGAGTAATACTTCTGTGAATATTTGTGTACAAGTTTTGGAGTAGACATGTGTTTTTCTTTTTCTTGGGTAAATACCCAAGGAATGGAATTGCTGGATCATATTGGTGACTCTATGGGTAACATTTTGAGGAACTGCCGAACTGTTTTTCAGAATGGCTGCATCATTTTACAATTCTACCAGCAGTGTATGAGAGCTCCAATTTATTCACATCTTACCAACACTTGTTATTGTATTTTTTTCTTACTTTAGCTATCTTAATGAATGGAAAATTTTGATTTTGATTTGCATTTCCTTAATGACTAATGAGTTGAACATCTCACACTATGATCAGAGAATGTAGCCTGTTAATTCCCAACATTAAAACATCTACCAGATTTTCTTTGTGGACAAGTTATATGATGGAATTTTGTAAAAGTTCTATGGGCATAAGAAAAGAAAACATGTTCTCTCTCTCTCTCTTTTTTTTTTGGTTCATCATCTTTTTTATTTTTTAAGATTTTTATTGGGGAATTGGGGGGATGGAAACAGTGCTGGGGAATTGGGGGGGAAGGGGAACAGACAAGTTGCTGTCGTTTTGTTCTTCAGTCTAGTTGTGGAGGACGTTGCTTCACTGGCCCAAGTTGGCACCATCATTGTGCTCTTCCCGGGTGAGGCAGATCAGTCGCCGGCTTCTGGACGGCCGCTCACTGCGGCTGCTGGCCGCTCACGCTGGCTGCTGGCTACACACGGTAGCCCATGGCAACCCACTGCCACAGGGGCTGCAGCCTACGCCGTCGCCGGCGACTCATGGCAGCCCAGCTCCAGGTTGAGCTGTTGTTCAGCATCTTAGCTGTAGAGGGCAGTGTCACTGGCCCTCATATGTGGGATCCGAACCGGGGCCCTCTGGCGTCCTAAGCCAGTTCTTAACCATCGTGCCACTTAGCTGGCCCTGGTTCATCATCTTTATGTTTAAAATTTAACTTGTTCATGGAAGCCTGCAAGGATCTGTGATACAACTTTCAAACACAGAAGCACAGAGCAGCTCTGTTCTCTCCAAGAACCAAGATAAGATCACCCAGTTTGGGGTAAAGTGACTTCTTACACTCATTAAATAAGTACAAAGCTATGATATGTCCCTTGGACACCAAAATGTCCAAACGTGATTCTTAATCTAGGAGTTGAGACCTTCTTAACTCTATGGAACAATTTCTCTCTGCTGAGTGACACCACCCCAGGTGATCCCTTCCAGGGAAAGACAGCAGCCTGGCCACTGCCCCGCCTGCCATTCACAGGAGCTGTGCCTGGGCACACTCAGTCTGCACTCTCAGCCAGCTCTCGTCTTCATGACCAGGCTCCACATTTGATGAAAGCTTTCATTGTCACTCCTGGCAGAGTCTTGGGGACATTTCCTGTCCGTCCTCTGTCCTGCGTTTCATGCAGTTCATGTATACCCAAATAAGACACTGTTTCTCAGAAGGCTTGGCTCAGAGCTCACATCTGCTCTCCTGTCCCCTAGGCCTGCAGAACTGAATCTGCAGTTGCCATACAGCGTACACGTCTTCATTTGAAAGAAAACAATGGGAAAACATGGATACTATCGTTTCATGTAAAGCTCCCATTCTACATGCAGAAATTCACTTCTTCTAACATGACCCAATCTTAGACAGACAGAACTAACCTATTACCGAGGGTGCAATGACTCAAGTACAATAACACCGATTGACAGGACTTTCAATAGAACACAAATTTGCTGAATCATAACCTATGCTAAATCTGCATTGCTGACTAAATTAAACTTAACTTGTATATCTAAAAAAAATAAAAAATAAAAAAATAAAATTTAACTTGTTCATGTCTTTTATTTAACTCTTTATTTATGTTACTTTCTTGCTTTCTCTTTATCCCATCACTTACTTTTGTTGTCTTAAATAAGTTCCTCTTTATATTACACAGATACTCAAATCAGTGTCACATTTTCAGCATCTATGAAACAGAACCACATTTGTTTTGAGTCTACCACATAAAAGGTACCCATGTGGTATAGTGCTGAGAATGTGAACCTTGAGGTCAGGTAGACTGGGTTTAACATAATAACAACTAAATCTCTGTTACTGTATGCATAGAATGAAATAATAATTACAGCAACCCATAGATGACAGGATTGTTGTGCAAATTAAATGAGGTACCTGCTTCTGCACATCACATGATTTCTTTTTATAGCAATACTTGCTAATATGAATCAAAAGTTTACCTGGGCCAGTCTGGTTCTAAATGCCAAACAAACATCATCTCATTTAATTTTAATAATCCTTTGAGATAAATAGTTTTGATGTATTTCGAAAAAAAAACCACTGAAGAAACATTTTCATATTGTCATAGCTAAGAGTTGACAGAGCTAGAGTTTAAGCTTTTATATTCATTTTATTCTAAATCTATGGTCTCACTTATATTTCATTTTGATGAATAACTAGAATAGGTATTGACTGGACTGTGTCTACCCCACAGTATCCAAAGCTGTGAAGTGTACTTTGGTTCCCCCAAGAAGCATTGTTTGGGTGAATGCTGAATGACTGACCATGTGGACACTGTCTTTCCAGGTTTCTTGGAGTCTCTGTGGAGCCCTGGGACCAGATCCCACAGTGAAGGGTGCAGGATTTTCCTTCCCACCCCAGCAGCTCTGGTTGAGTTCATGGACCTCACCTGGCCTTAGGCTTCTCAGAAGAGCAGAGTTGTCATCAAGAGACTCCAAGAGCTCAGGCCCAACAGGAGCATGCCAGCCAATCAGAGCTCTCCCCAGTGGTCCCTGGCCCTGACTGCAGGAGGAAGACGTGACAACTCCTGTGAGGTAAGGAGGAGGAAGAAGGCAGGAATTCATCCAGAATGAAAGATAGCATCTCATTATATTAATTTGTGTGACTTTTTTTTTAACCAGGCAGCATAATTGGGATTTTTATTGGTCATTCACTTCCCTTGTGTTAATATCCTTCTCTTGTCCATTGCTGATTCATTTATCTTAGCTTATGGATTTAACATTTTTTGAAACATTTAGGTTCATAGCCCTTTATCATTTTCATGTATTTTCGTAAATATTCTTTGCCTCTTTGTAATTTAAAATTAGTTTTTAGTTTTATTTATACAAGGTAAAAGGTGTCAAATAGTTCTTCAAGTCTTCTTTAAAAAAATGGCTCTTCTGTACTTTGTTTCTCCCAGATTCCAGCTTCCTAGAGGGAAGCACTCTTAATCTTTTTAATAGATGTTATTGTTTTTAATTTTTGCTTTTGGACATTATCTATTGCCTTTCCACTATAGAAGACAAAGATTTAGCTTTTCCATACACCCCCACTCACATACATATTTGTATATAAATATCATTGTTTTGATCAGATCCACTGTTAGTGTTTATTATTGTGACTGTTTATAGTTGAGTCATGTGGTATCCATGCTGTAATTACCATTCTTGTACAACTCTTTCTTTTCCCTGGAATTAACAATTTTCTAGTTTAGTCATTTCTTTGCTTTACTATATACATATCAATAATTCAACTCCAAATTCTTCCCAGTTGTTTAAATCTCCTCTCTGTATATTCAAACATTGTAGGTAAAATCATAGTGACAATAATTATAAACACTTATATAATGTTTACTATGTGCCCAACACTGTTATGTGCGCACAACATATACTAACTCATCTTCATAACAACCTCGAGAAGTAGGTGCCGTTGTTATTCCCATTTTACAGAGGGGAAAACTGGGACATAGAGCAAAACTATTTGGCCCAAGTTCACACAGCTAGTAATAGGGTGGGGCTGGTCAGAACTCTGGGCATCAGTGTCTTTTCTCTGAAGAAGTCTCTCCTGGAACTTCTTGACTTGCTGAAGGCTGGTCTGGTTGCTCTCTCAGCTTTACATATAGCTACTGTCTTGGTGTCTTCCCTTTGTCATCCCTCAGGAAATTCTTTTCATCTGTCTTGTGTCAGATTCCCTTTCCTGGGGATCCTGTGCCTTCCTTCCTGTTTTCTGGATCCTGTGTCTTCCTCTTTCTTGATTTACCCCCTCATTTGTGGGCACACATCCTCTCCTCTATTCTTGAGAATAGATGCATGACAGGTAGATTTTATGAAACCTTACATGTCTGAAAATGTCATGCAAAAATATATTTATTTAATACATATAATTGTAGAAATATATTTATAGAAAAGAAAAGTAATAAATGTCATGGAATTATATTTATTTGTTCCTGACGCTAAATTTATCTTTTTGGCTGGATATAGGATTCTAGGTTGGAAAGCATTTTTGTGCAGAATTTAAAAAGCCTGATTTCAGTCTAGTCCTTTTCTACTCACCCATACATTTTCTCTGCTTTTCAAAAAACTCTTATTAGTTGTTGAACTTCGTTTTAAAAAAATTATTTGTTCTACTGAATTCCATTTCTTTCTCCTTTCTAGTTTGTTTTTGAAAACTTTATCTTCCAAATCTTTGTCTCTCATTAATGCTGTTATATATTTTTATTTTATTTTATTTTTTAAAGATTTTTATTGGGGAATTGGGGGGATGGGAACAGTGCTGGGGAATTGGGGGAAGGGGAACAGACAAGTTGCTGTC